TTGAACAATATAATGTATTGTGAATATAATTTGTGTGTACACATTTACATATATGCATACACATATGTGCTCGTCTTGCCACATGAACTTTGTCTCCCACTCTCTTAAGCACCGATTGATGTCCGCAGGTATCAAAGCTCAGATTGAGCTGAGTGCTCAGGTACTCCATGTCGGCACAGCCAAGATCAGAAGACTTGACGGTGATAGAAAAGGAGATGGCTGACAGGGAAGAATGGCGTCTCTCTCCGGCTTCCCCTGTGCTCTGAGGTGATGAGCAGCCTGCCGCTGTGTAGCCAGGTGGAAAACTGCGCTCTCTGGCACCATGCGCAGAGCATAGCCCTCCACCATCTCGACCATCCATCTGCAGCTCAGCATAATCTGCAGCCTCCTGCTATAGATCTGACGCAGGCATTGTTACCTCCTGCTGCTGCTGCTCACTGTTCTGGAGTCAGTGTTCAGTTACTAAAGATGAAGATTAGAGGCGATGAGATCACGATTATACAAAGATGCTGAGGGTTATCTCCACACTTGATCTCAATGACTAGTACTACAAGCAAAATAGGTCACGACCCTAATACGCCTTAAGGATGTGTGAAGGCGCTTTTGTTAATATGTAAACACACTACAGAGTAGAAAAATCACATTGCTTCTTCTTTTGTATCTGCTTATACTTACTTATACTATACAGTAAGGCTCAGTTGCAAGTTGACTCTTAATATTTAGCACTTTATTTGTGCACAGATAATTTTTTGACATTACTACACTTTGACTAAGTTGCGAGAAAATATTTAGTTGCCACTTTCAACTCACTATCATTACCTTCAGCTCTCTCTTTATGGCTTTATGGTGTTGAGATTGAGTTACTATTTGCTGCCACCTGCTGGTGTTTAGACTGCTAGTGTTCAAAAATATTGTAAGGGACCAAAAAGCCTGATTAACATTTAGACATGTTTATTTTAATTATGTACAGTTGGCCTGCTTGTTTGTAATATATTTTGATATAACTTTTTTGAAAGACTGGTATACGATGGATAGGAACGACTATGCCCTTCATGTCAGTTAAAGTGTAACTTACCTTGTTGCCAGTGTTTAGGATTTGCTTTAGCCTAATTCTACCAGGATGCTCCTTTCTATCCCCATGTTTGTGTCACACATATTGTGTATATAAAGTCATGTCATTCTTTTTCTTTCATTCAGTCAGTCATTGATCAAGATCCATAGATTAACTTGACTGACAAATTGTGAAAAGCTGATGTAAATATTTTAGAATAGAGGTGCATTGTTTTCCCAGAATGTGTTCCTCCGCAAGTATTTAATGATAGGGACACTATTCACGGGAGTCAAATATGCAGTTCTAATAAGAACACGAAAATGCTGTTTCTTATGGATTTTTTTTTTTTTTACGTGATGGGACAGGAGGGTATTCCTCCGGGATTGGGACGGTACAGGATTTTTTTTTTGTGCAAGTGAGATGGACAGGAGTGAAAATCATCACCTGTTCCACCCTTTAATTGACAGTTGTTGGCAGAAACATGTGAAAAAGCAGCGTTGCAATTCGCCCGCAAACGTAGTGAAGAAGACTGCAAGCTAAGTTGTTAAAAAGAAAAGCTCCACAGGGTACCTTTTTTTAAAATTACTAATTTATTTAAAACAAACTTGAATATTTATACAATATAATAATGTGTGCTGACATAAAAATGTCATTGCAGGTTTACAGACTTCTATTAGACTGGTCCAAGAGACACCTCCATATCAGTAGAGGGAGACGTATCTGACCAATATTCAACTTTTCTTATAAAGCCAATAAAGCTTGACACATCACGCTAACTCCACTGCAGACATAAACATGCAGACACACTCTCACACGCTTAGAGGGTGGTGGTTTATTTGAACATGTGAGTCAGCCAGTCCCCGTGGGCCGCAGCTGGAGAGAGTAGAGCGCCCCACCCAGCAGCGCCAGCGTCACATGTGGTTGCAACTCCCCCAACCTCCCCTCAACCAAGCTCCCTCTGATTTTATGCATGCCGAACACCCCTCCCCTTCACTTCACTTCAGGATGTATTGTCCTCCATTCACTGAGTTAAGTTTCAAAACTGTGCCGTTCACTTGTAGCAGTGTGGTGGAACTGAAGAGCAAGTAGTGGCTGGGTTAGCTACTGTTGGCAGCCAGATGCCTGTTTGTGGTGAGTGTATTTTTATGTTTGCAGTGCGTGTCCTATGGTTAGAGCTTCTAGTTTCCTGTAGATTCATTTTGGGGAATTTTAAATTTATGCTTTTCAAAAGACAACTTGGTGTGTGCATTTTCCCCTATGGGGTTGTTTGTTGCTGTAGTTTGTTAATGAAGACTTTCATTTAGTAAAAAAAAAAAAGTCAACAAGTCAGTGCTTGTTCTCATGATCTTTTGAAACCTCACTCAATACACTGTTTAAGACAGCTACAACAGTCTTTCATAGTTGGTGATGTTTATATCATGACATTTTCTGCTGAACTAAAATCACACAGTCACATTTGATTTTGAAAATTAAGTTGTTGGACTGATTAACAGATGAATGACAATGTCTTTATTTAAGTTGTTTATTTAAGGTGGGTTACATCTTTCTGAATTAAGGGATATAAACATACATACTTTTCAGTGTTTTTTTGTTTTACTAAGCCCTGTTTGGCAAAAATGCTGCATCAGTCAGATGTAGAATTTTATGATATATAGTTTGTGGCATAACTACTGTAGGTCAAATTGTAGCTGACTTAAATTCTCATTCTTATTCTCTCAGGACTTTTTCAGAGATGTTGTTGGTCAAAGAAAAATTATACTTTATGGTCTATGAATCCTCTGATATTCTTAGTATTGACTTCTGAATTGACAGTCCTTCGACATCTCTGACTGAAAGCAGGGTAAAGTGATACAAATGATTTGCTAATACTTTGTGAACCAGGTCTGGTTTCCTAAAAGGGTGACAAGACAGAGGAACTGTAAAAACACTCATTAGACACTCTGGGCCCTGGGGGCACGTGAATCTTTTGTCTGCCAATGAGATGCTCAGCGCCTGAGAAATGTGACACCACACTCCTTTTCAAGCCTCTGTGGTTGATGTCTCATGCTGCAATTTTGGCTAAGAGACCATTAATTTGGAGACAGAGGGAAATATAAAGTACACTGGAATATTTTCCCCAAACTTTTTGTAAGAATGTTCAGCATGAGAATGGACCTCTTATTGTTCATTTGATTTAGCATTCAGGTCCGCTTGATCTGTTTTTACATTCATCTGTAACGAGGATGTATACATGCAGCCACGTCTAATAAGCACTCAGGGCGATGCAATATCATGTGGCTGTGTCACAATAGGCTGTTTATGTGGCCCAATGGCAGTCTGAGGCAGAAGAGCGGCTGCAACCAGGCACAGTTCAGAACTTCTCAGTCGGCCTCAGCCTTGTTTCTTCACTGTATGAAAAGCAGCCAGATTTTCAGGCCATTTTCGACCCGGGGGCATGTCATTTACCAAATGAATGGCCCTCTTTTCTGGACAGTTGAGCCAGTCACAGTCTATCATGCCACGAGACAAGTGAGCCCACAGTATTACTTCTCACTGCAGAGGACTGTTTTTCAGTGAGCACATTTGCATACCTTCAGGGTATGGCATGAGTAAAACATAATAATAATGATACTGCGTGAAACTGTTTATGGACATACTTAACGGCTATGACTGATGATCACACTTTTTTTTTTTTATTTGTATGTCTGTCACTGAAACTTAATGGGTTGGACTCAATCTGAGATGATTAAAAAGAGGCTTTCTAAAACACAACTTAAGTTTGGATTAATGACTTCTCAAAAGCATCTATAATCAACTGCAAGTCACCTGACTATGTGATCGTGATGACAAACCCACAACTAATTATCACCCAACTCTGTTTTCCTCAGCACTAAAGAACTTTATAGTGTCTTTTAACTCATTGTTTTCTGGCAACACTTTACTGTTTTAGTTGAATGTCAAACCTGTTGTACGCCACCTGCCTATGACTATATTTTATAGCTAAAAAGCCAGATGTTTCCCATTTTATTTTTTGAAAATGAATCTGAACATTGTGTGCTATGCTGAAAATAAAATCCAAGCAGCGATTTGTTTCCTCCAAAATGTATTTTGCTAATTAAAGTTTTTAAAATATGAAAATAATTCTTTTGAAACAGAAACACTTGTAGAGACGGGGCAACAGCCATCAAAATGTCATTGAGTGTGTTGCTTTTGTCAGTAAGTACTTGTATTGTTTTACAGGGAAAAAGAAAAATGAGTATTCATTGACAGACTGTTTTTAATTATCTTGTTTAAAATTCTTCTTAACCTAGAACTTTGGTTATTCCCCTGACAAGGAAACTAGCACCATGTCTTGATTCTGGTCCCAAAGGTCTTTATGTTATAGAAATTTCTCTGACATGATTTATTTCTTGTTTGTCTTCTTCACACATGGCAAAAGACACCTAACTTGAGGTAGCACAATTGTAAGAAACTGAAAGGGGTTTACATCCAGGAGGGTTTGCTCTTTGTCAGGACAAAGACTCATTTGACTGAGTGATTCTACTTGTGATTTACGGTAGACTGAACCGTGACCTCTTGAGTCCACCCCTAATGTGAGTGTAGAGAGCTGAGGGAGAGTCGTATCTGCGTCACATAGTGCTTCCTCAGCCAGGGGGTCAGGTCTGAGGAGGTGGCAAGGGTTCACTGGGCAGGAAGACAACATGCTGGTGAAGACAGAGGCAATATCACAGCTGGACGTCTCTGGTGCTTTTACACTCCTGGTGCTTTATCTCAGTGTTTCCTGGCTGTTTGTTTTACTGGTGACCGTACTAAAGCTTGAAACAATGGCTTTAATCACGACAGTGGTCAGTGTTTACAGTGTTTGCCTGCTGTTTGGCATCTTGCTCAACCTCTGCAGGGTGTCGTTTTCCTCTTCTGGTCTGTGGTCATATCTGTGTGAGTGTTTAAATTCCTCCTTTATCTCTTTCAGGATGGCTCGGTGGGGAACCTTGATGACCTGGCTCAGGAGTATTCTCAGTATTACGGGACCTCCCTCAGTGACGTGTGTGAAAGGATGGAGGAGCTTCGGAAACGCAAAGTAGTGCAAGATGCTGAATTGGTAAACTGTCTTATCAGTCTTCTTATTCTCAGGAAAGACCATGGCACATCCAAAAATCTGATACCTCAGCATTAGATTATTATTATTTCTGCTGCCACTAACACTTCTTTTAAAGGAATAGTTGGGCATTTTGGGAAATACACTTACTAACTTTCTTGCTGTGTGTAAGATGAGAAGATTGACACCAGCTTAGCATAAAGACTGTACACAGGAAAAAGATAGCCGAGACAAAGGTGACAAAAATCTGAAGTCTAAATATTTTTTCAAAATCAGCTTGTGAAATGCAGATATGCTCAATCCTCTGTTTGTTGCTGTACAACAAACAGATTCAGCTAGCTGAATATTATTTCTATTTCTGTGTTGTGATGACACTATAATTTTCTCCTCCGCTTCCCATGCCTGTGTGTTTCAGGGAAAGTTTGACTCAGTGGCCACATCACTGCAGCTTCGCACTCAGATCCAGGTGAGTGTCCAGCTCTGAGTGTGTCAGACCCCAGGAGAAGGCAACTTCCTCTAAACGCACGTCAGCAGACAGGCTGATAAGAGGGCCTTTGAATTGCCTTGTCATGATTATCCTGAGCAAAACCAAAGTAGTAGGCTAAAATGTAACATTTGACTAACTGTGAGCAGAGAGCTGGCCTTGAAACTGTCCTCAAATGTTAGGGAATATATCCCAAAATGTGACTAGTGGCATATGTGTTTTTGTGCTACCAAATTACAAGATTTATATTTTAAAAGTGCAACAAATACAACGAAACATATCTGAAATTCCTCTTTTTTTAACCCGTTAATTAAATAATTGTAGTTGATTCAGTCTGTATCTGTATATGCTATGCTATTTTGTCTGCTACATATTTCTCTCCTCTCCTTTGAAGGAAAATGCTATAATTTAAGTTGACATTTGCTTTATAAATTAAATGGTTGTTATCTTGGTTTGGAACAATAATTGCACTCATTAAATTGCAGCATTGCCTCTTTATGCATTTAAATTCACACTGTTTTCATCTCCTTAAGGAATCCCTTGGACTCAGCAGCAGTACCACCTCCACTCCTGAGAATGAGAGAAGGTAAAAGTTTGAAAGTTGTTAATTCGTAATATTTGTATTTTAATGTGCTTTCAGCCACCAAAAGCATCAGTAAGATTAGGGACATAAAAATACTGCAATAGATTATAATCAATATGGCTGGGACTGTGTTTTGTCCAGATGATGTGTAGTGTTGTGGCTTAAGAGACTACATTATAATAACTTAATATACAGTAAGTCATATCTTAAGGGAGCTGAACTGTGATTACTCTTCCTGTACTATCTCTTTGTCACCCTGTGGACACAAGCCATTCCTCTGCTTCCTGCTGCCCTCCAGTCACATTTATGAAGCATTTCTGTGTCACCTTCAAACTTCCTTCCTTCCTTCCATTGTTTCTTTTGAGGGATTTCAAAGATTACTCATTTTGTCATTGGTAAGCTGAACATTGTGTGATGACTAATGATAAAGCAACATATTGATTTTATTTAGCTTGTTAAAGAGACAGAACCTTGGAAACTAAGCAGTATCCATATTTTTAAGGATTTTATTATAATAACAAACAGGCCTGTATTATTTCAGAACCTGGACAAGAACACAGGCGACAAATCTCCTTCTATAACTCCTGAACAGGGTTCACAGGAAACTTATGCTGCCCCCTAGTGGGACAAGAACAAAGTAATTCTGAAGGAAGCTGATGGCTACCAGTAGCAGAAACACGTTTTGATGACTTACACAATAAAATGTTTTAATATATATGATATGTTTTAATTAGTCTTTTCTTCCTATTCTGTGTATTTTTCTTAAGATTCCCTTGAAATTGAGGTTTAACTTGCTTATCCACAGTGGGCACGTTTGCTTTGCTGGCCCTTGAGATTGTCACTGTGATTAAAAAATAAATTTAATTTTAGAGTTATCAGTTTTCATGCCAAACTTTTTTGCCGTAGAATTTGGAAGAGGGAAAACAGTGTCACAGTCTATAACCCCAAATAGAGGTTGTTTTCTGTTTCATGGTCCTTTTGAAGAAAATCAATATATTCATTGTATCCTGTAGATAAAATGACCATGTCAGTACTATGTTATGTAATAATATTTTTTTTATATATATAATATATATAACATTACAGCTGGTTAAGACAAGGTGACAAACAACATCTTTACAATGTCAAAAAATCAAATAAATTACTTGTAAAGTAAAGTAATTACTTTAAAAGAAGAATTAGGATACAATACAATTATTTAACCAAACAGTAACAAAAATGTATATCTTGAAAATGTTTTTGTAGCTGTGGTCAGGGAAACTTCTGTCACTTGAGCACCAGACAATATGAAAACTAATATTAAACTTATTTACAAAAGAAAAAGTACTGGTCTGATCTGTTTTCAAACTCATAAACTGACCACCAGCAACAAGTGTCAACCGAGAGAGATGCTTTGTGAGAGCGAGCGAGAGAGAGAGTTATAAACAACAAACAGAGAGGTGAAGAGTGAGAGACAGACAGAGAGCGAGAAAGAGGGAGGGTGAAAGTGTGCAGAGAATGCAGAGGCCACGTTAGCGCTGCTGCTGCTGCTGCAAAACCCTGACTGGACATGAAAAAGACTCTATTGTTCCTGTGATGGCTGTAGAGTTCTAACCTCTGTTCATCAGCCAAGAGCAGCCAGTCTTTTTCATCTGTTTCGACTACTTTGATTTCCCTTCACTATGATGCTAGTGTCACGAGGGACAGTACACTTTTGTGAGTCTTTTTTGTTTTTGTAATTTTTTGCTTTGTTTTTTAATCTGACAAGTCGAGAGGATAGAGAGACATGTTAAGGGAGATGGTGGGATAGCAGGGAAAATGAAGAAAATAACTTTGGATAACAGGTAATTTTCTCTTCAGGGCTTTGATTCCCCCAATTGAACTCTTCAAATGAAGTAAATGTTTTGTTGAACTTTTTAGGTTTCCTGTGCACAAATCTAGCTCTGATGATGGATCAGGAGGTAAGTTAAAATTTTATATGAATCTTGATTGCTGCATCATATACTTAATCCTTCAGTACAGTCAGATTGATCACAACCTATTTTACCCTAAACTAAGCGCACAGAAAAGCTACATTAAAAAATGTTTGTGTTTATTAGTGGTTGTAGGTGTTTTTAAACCAGCTTATTTCTTCTTATAGTTCTTCTGATAGTAGTAATGAGAATGTAGAGTGATTATTATTATTTTTTTTTTAAATGCTAAAATTGCTTTTATTATTGTATTCAGGAATATTGTAATTTAGTACATAACCTAATATTGGTATTTGTTAATTGAGTGCAGGTGCTGGAATAATTGGTTACCTATAATATGGATATTTTTGTTTAATTTTGTGGTGATTTTTCTCTGCCCTAAATTATATCGAACCGTTGTACTCTATAGGAAAATGGGATGGAAAGAGAAAAGGCAAGTCTTTTTGGCAGAGTTTTCGAAAGTCACAGAAAGGGGTGGTGCGTCAGATTTCGAAAGGTATGTTAAGTCATTAACACAAAAAAAGGAAATGATATATGTATATAGGGATTGCTCACCAACATAAGCACATTTTTTTTGTTATTTGACATGAAGGATGTATCTGAATGAAATGCTTAATTAAAGCAGTCAGTTGTGTTTATTCCTGTCAGCTGACAGTCCTGCTTTTTACCCAACAGGTGATGATGTTGGATTTGTGGCCAGTGAAATCACCATGAGTGACGAAGAGCGTATCCAGCTGATGATGATGGTGAAGGAGAATATGATTTCTATAGAGGAAGCCTTGGCACGAGTATGTCACACATCCCAAAATTCTCCACTTTACTGTCATGTGAAATTTACAGCTTCCGTGTTTTTCTCCTTTTTGCTCAACTTTAAGAGTTTACTGTGGAAATGTTACCACAAATCAAATAGGTCAAGTATCCAGTTGGACCAAGACCTTTTGAACACTAAATACAAAATTCTTAAAGTTGGGTCCATTTAGAAGATTATATTTGCAATCAGGAAATGAGGCAAGATCTCTCTAAAAGCCCTATAAGCAGTTGCAAAAACGTATTATCGAGTTGTAGCTAAATCTGTAGGGAAATCTGAAAACATGAAAATCTGGAAATTATAAAGCTAGGCAATTATTTGTTGTCTTGTAAAGTTAGCAGCATTTTCAGCTTTGTGAAAGTAATAACAGTCTGATGTAGGCATATGGTCAAAGCATGGTTTTATCTGCATTAAGAAAAGAATGCAGTTTTAAATAATTCCCTTAAGTGTGCCAGTGGTTCAAGGATAAATAACACATCAGCTTGTAGATTAATGTACTCTAGCTCTGCATCATGTACTATAACAGGGTCATCTTTTGTTGCAGCTGAAGGAGTTTGAGACACAAAACAGGCAGACGTGCAGGTCCGATCCCACAGAGTGGGCCGATCCCTCCAGTCCCACCACAAATGAGTTGTTCAACTGCAACGTAAGTCTCTTAAGCTCCCAGTCTGAGGACATCTTATTACATTTTTAAATGCTGAATCACAACTTCAGTCAGCATGTAGTACATGAGTGCATCAGATCTACCAGTGCCAAGGCTGCTGAGCTGTTGACAGTGCCTCTCTCTTTCCCACTTTCCCTGTCCCACCGATGAACCGGGGCCCCTCTAAAGCCCTGCAGCTCAGGGCCTTCTCCCAACTGCAGGACACTGCACGGATTTCTATTCATCGCTGTCAAAGCGCTAACCCCCTATTGTGCTGTAGTGAGCGGGTGGACTCAGCACAGGGCCCTGTTATGCAGGCCACAGCTCTTTTATGCATGGGTGGGGTGATTAGGGGGCTCAGGTTCAGGGCACATTTTTCAGATTCGTCTGGATGGCCTGACTATTTCTCTTTGGTGTGTGTGTGTGTGTGTGATGATTGCACATCTGTTGCCCCCTCCCCCGTTGTTTCTTTGTTGATTATAGACCATCTCTAATTGCATGGAATTTCTGTTTGGCTTAACTTTTATCTTTTGACATGTATTCTGGGATGTACATACCTCTTGTGTTTTAGTCTGCAGATGAAACCTCAATATATGACCCTGGTCTTCAAATGTACCACTGACTTTTTCACTAACCCCCATGTAAGGTGATTTCCAAGCAGCTAGCTTTTTGATTTCCCTCATATAGAAAGCCTTTTTTAGTCAGTTGTCATGCAAAGCCTATGATATAAGTGTTTGCATGGGCCTCATTGACATTGTGGTTTGCTACCACATATTTATATTAAGCTACAAGTAGTTTCTGCAGCAGATACTTGCAGCAGCATCTGCACACATCTACACAGCTTAAATACCTTTTTAACTTCATACAAGTTACTACTAATGGAGGACAATTATTAAAATATAACTTGGAATTTGAGTATAAAGACAGCAATTTTAAATAAGAATATTGGGCCTTACAACTGGTAACAATCTACTGTGAACATGCTGTTATTTTACCGTAACTGCAGACCTCTGTGGTAAGACAAGATGTTAATAATAAAATAAAATTCTTACTGGTCTTTCCTATCAGCCTTGTGACCTGTCAGACAATGAACAAGAGGAATCTGTGACGTTCAGGAGACTCCATAAGCTGGTCAACTCAACCCGGAAGGTGAAGAAGAAGCTGATCAGAATTGACGAGTCTAAGAAGCCTGGAGCAGAGGGTAATAAACCACTATCAGACTTGATCTCATAAAACCCAATGTGGCAACCATCATAGTTTTTAAGTTTTTGTACAAACTCTGTTGCAGTTTTTATGCAGGCAAAATCCATGTGTATGTTGCTGCACATGCAGCCAGGATGTAAAAACCAGTAGCAACTATTGTAGTACATTAAGATGTGTACTGCACCTGGGACACCACAATGCTAAATGTGACACAGTCTAGACAAAATATCAGTAATTGTGCTCTAACTAATTACTATTTGACGAGCATAATATGATATATAATAATATACACAGTATTCACTGTGTTTTACTAGTTGTATAATATTTGTGAATATATGTTCTGAAGAATACTTTTCCAACTACATTCCCAACATGTTTACATTTGTGAATTTGCATTTGCGAAAACAAATGTAATTAGTGGTGGGCTAGTAGATTATTCTCTGATCTCTGAAAAATCAACTAAAAAAATTTAAGTTCATTCATAGAAATTGTAAATAAGACAGTTTCATTTCATATTTTACAGAACTGATCTGCGGTGGATAGCATGACTAGCTGATTATATTTAACAAAAGTCGAGCATTATGTGTTGAAACTAAAGTAACTAAGTTGCTTTGGTTTAAGTTGGTGGTCGGCTGTGGCTCAGGGTAGAGTGGTCGTCCACCAACCAAAAGGTCGATGGTTCAATCCCTGGCTACCCCAGTCTGCATGTCTGTCCTTGGGCAAGACACTGTACCCCAAATTGCTCCTGGTGAAATAGCCATTGATGTGTGATTGTGTGTGAATGAGTTAATTACTGTTTCTGATGAGCAGTTTGCACCTTAGCCTCTGCTCATCCGCGGTTGAATGTTTGAATGAGGTGAATGTGCTATATAGATTATTCACATTTTCCTTTGTTCTGATGATATTGTATTATATTTTTTACCTTCCTCCATTCCCCTCTTTTTACCCTTCACACAACCTAAACATAGATGATCTTCCCTGTGGAGATGCCAGCAACTCCCTATACTCTGGTGTGCAGAAGAAGCCTGTTGTTTGCCCCATGGACTCCTTGGCTTCAGCTCTTCGGGACCAGCTCACTTACGACAGGGACTCTGACAGCCTGACCACCTCCCCCTCCTCGAGCAGCCTGGACACCTGCAGCAGCCAGAAGATCTTCCAGGCTTTTAGCAAGTCTTGTAGGAGCCCTATTCATCAGGAGACAAGTGCTGGGGAGGTGAGGGAGGCAGGTGACGGCAGTGGCTCGTCCTTTTCTGAAGCAGAGGGTTGCCATGATGAGGAACCCAAAATCGCTCGCTCAGTCACGGACGGAGAGCTCCGTCACCGGATCCTAAGCCCGCTCAGCCACCATGGGGTGAGTAGGGGAGAGCAGGGGCGAATTGTTTTCTGAATTTTTCAGAAAAACCTGATTTTAAAAGATAATGTTTCAGACAGAGATATACTTTTGCTGTGGTCACTAACTCACAGGTGTAGTCTATCAATATCAGGTGGTATTTTGTACAAATGTAGAACAACTTCCATATAATTTCACTTTAAACATAAGGGGCACATTGTTACTTTCGACCCCATCAGTGGGACAAACGTAACACGTACAAGCTAGATTTTTTGTGTTACCCTTGTATTTAATAAATAAACATGACTGTGACCTTGTTAATGTGTAACTGCAAACATCTTTTGTCCCTTATCTTACAAAAAAAAAAAATTATTAATCTAGTCGTCTTCCCAATTATCTCTGCCCTTATCTGAACAAAGCGCATGGCGTATGGCATGAGACTTTATCAGCTGACCTGAGACTACTGTTTCTAATAGAGATGTCCAGAAACGCCTTCTCCAACATCTGGCTGAATCAGACCTCTGTCTTTCTGACCCACGCTTGGCATATTCTGTTGGTATAATATGACATAAACATGTTTTAATAAATGCTGCAACATAGAGAAAGCCACCCCATTAGCAGCGGGACAAAAGAAAAACTTGTGGTCAGGTGTAGCATATGACAGGAACTCCTGACATATAAACACGATTTATTTTTATACTGAAAAACTCTGACTCTTCAGGGTGTGTTAAAGCACTAAATAACCTGTAGATTAATCATTACTGTGACACAATTAACGAGAGACACAACTTCTAAAAAGAGTCCCGCTTGAGATATTTACTTGCCGTGCTCGAAAATAGTTTTCCGAAGATGGCCACAGGAAAAGATGACAAAATCATGCGATATTTGGCGGCTCCATCAAGGGTTGCGTGCTGAAGGTGCTGTCACAGCTTGGACTGCAAATGTAGTCAGGGCTCTGAGAAAATCGCCTTGTTACTTTCGCCCCGGTTTACCCCTACAGTAGATATTTTTCATCTTCAGGAAATCAAGTGTCAGTGACATCCTTAAATCTTAATTAACTCATTTCAATTAGCTTTCTACTTTAAAATATAATCTAGTTTGAGGTTGATAAAAACTGTAACATCACTCACATACCCACAACCCAGCTGACATACACTGATCATACATAAAATGCTCTCCTAGTCTCACTTTAATGTGTTCCTTCCGGCTAAAGCTCTATACTTTGTTTCTAAAAAAAATAATAAAAAAAATGGCCTGCTGTCGTCACATCAAACCAAACTGATAACCATCAGCATTGTGCAAGCTGCCCTGCATGCACTGTTCGAGCACCTGCACTGATGTCCGTTAAATATAAATTTAGTCCAAGCCAATTTTAGATTTAGCAAGAAACCCCCAACTTCACCTACATCTCTGTATCTGTGATCATGAATGTCCTGTTTTGCTGGGGTTTTTCCACAGAGAGCCTGTAGCTTTGGAGGATTTGACCTGACCAATCGCTCGATGCTCACAGTCATCTCTGACAATGATAACACTGTACGTAACTGTCTTTCTTCCTGAATTTTCAAAGACTGTATCAAAATAAATAGTTAAACTTGTTTGTGTGTTTGCCTTTTTTCTGCTTTTTTGTATGTAGGATAAAGACGGAGATGGTGTGAGGGATCCCATGAAGTCTCCAACAGCATCTCGTATTTCCCTGGGCAAAAAAGTCAAGTCTGTGAGAGAAACCATGAGAAAACACATATCTAAGAGATACCACTGTTCTCTCTCTGAACAGGTATGTACAGTCACTCTAGTACATTACAGTACAGCAGCATCTATCAGTGTTACTGTTGTAGATTGTCCATATGTTGGATATTATTGATAGGTAATCGTTTTGTTTCTTCTCTGTGTCCTAGTCAAGCCCAGACCGCATGTCCAGCTGCCCTCACTCGCCTCAGACAGATTCTGACTCTCTGGAGAAACCAAAACTGAAGCCAGGAGGGTCTGTGGAAAGCCTAAGGAGTTCCCTCAGTGGACAAAGTTCAATGAGTAAGTCTGTGTGTTTACAGTGCATGCGCCAGATCTGGGTGTACTTGCAAATCATTCTCAGTGTTTGTTTTAACTCAGCCTTGGAACACCAGATGTGTGGTGTTTATCAGAAAAGTGTTTCAGGGACAGTACGCCTTTGAGATAGTCTAAACTCCCTAGTCTCAGTGTATTTGTCTGGGTAGAAAACTGTGTACTGTCACCCCAGTCAGATAAAAAATATTTTTCAAATAATAACAGACCTGTGGAGTCTTGTGGTCTTGAAGTGGCTCATTTGTCTTTTTGTGGTTTGTGTAGGTGGCCAGACGGTGGGCACCACTGACTCATCCAACAGCAACAGAGAGAGTGTGAAGTCTGAGGACGGGGAAGAGGATGAGCTGCCTTACCGCGGACCCTTCTGTGGACGCGCTCTAGTTCATACTGACTTCACCCCCAGTCCCTATGACACGGACTCCCTCAAACTGAAGGTATGATCCAGTAAATTACACACTGCGTAGTGATGAGCTGATATCTTCTAAGAAACTTAAGTTCCACTGGGCCTGTCTTGCAGAGTGGAGATGTCATTGATATCATTAGTAAGCCACCAATGGGTACATGGATGGGGATGCTCAACGGTAAAGTCGGCACCTTCAAGTTCATTTATGTTGATGTCCTGAATGAAGAGGAGGTGAAGCCCAAAAAGACACGCAGGAGGAGGAAGGCCCGGCAACCTAAGCCCACCTCTGTAGAGGAGCTCCTTGATCGCATTAACCTCAAGGTAATAATCTTACTACATTATCAAAATCTGTTGCACACACAGGTGGATTGATTTTCTATGACACAAACAAAGGCATAACTTTGGGGTTTTGTAATAAAATTAATAAATAAAACATTTTAAAAAGTTGACAAAATTGAGTTTAAGGAAAAAAGGAATACAAGTGGGATATATCTTAAATTTGCTTCCAGCTGTTTAAAGAAATGGACATTTTGGAAAATATGCTTATTCAATTTCTTGCCAAGAGGTAGATGGGAAAATTTACATCACTCTCATGTCTGTATTCTAAATATAAAGTTAAAACCAGGAGAGAGGTAGCTTAGCTTAGCATAAAGACAGGAAACAGGAGGAAACAGCTTGCCTGGCTTAGTCCGACGGTAAACAACACAGACAAGCAGTTCTAAAGTTCACTGATGAACATGTTACATCTCATTTGTTAAATCTGTACAAAACCTGAGGGTTATGTGTTCAACTATGTTATTGAGTATGTTCCAAAACAATTTCTTTAAAAATAATTAGCAATTTGAACAAATAGAGAAAAATGCTAAATGTTTGAATTATAACAGGAAACATCTAGCATGCTTTTTGGTCATCTACAGATCAAAATACTTTTCAGCAGTTCTTAATGGATCAAAGATAGATTTTTATTGATCTGTTTGTGCATCATCCACGCTCACTTCTCTACAGGAGCATCTTCCCACCTTCCTTTTTAACGGCTATGAGGATCTTGACACATTCAAGTTGCTAGAGGAGGAGGACTTGGATGAGCTCAACATTACAGACCCCCAACACAGAGCTGTGCTGCTCACTGCTGTGGAGCTGCTGCAGGAGTATGATGGTGGGTCAGGTAATCAACAGGGTGTTAGATCTCACCTGAGCAATTTGTGTTCCTGAAAGACGCACCCTTTGTACCTCATGGTCTTGTAAAAACTGGAAATTTAACTACTTACCTTTGTAGCAATCTTTACACTCAAGATTATTTCCAGTTGTTTAATTTTAAAGATTCTGTTAATATGTCTACATCTGCTGTCTTTAAAAGCAATCATTCCCCCAGCAGTTTTCTCATGAGATCATAAGATGTGACTGTCTGCCCCCTGTTGGCCGTGTTGTGCCTTGCAGGAAGCAGCGACCCAGAGAGAGGCAGTCAGTCTGGAGGCTCACAGGAGAAGCTGCTCCTGGACAGACGTGGCCTCGTGGGAGACTCCCCGCGGGACTCCGGCTGCTACGAGAGTAACGAGAACCTGGAGAACGGTAATGACAGCCTGAGTGGCCTGTGAGCACTGCCCTCCTCTTCTGCCTCATCCTTCACTAGAAAGACTCATGTGGTGTTCAGTCCTTCTTGATGCTCGAGCATTCCAAGCCGCCAAGTTCTGTTTTCATGCTCTCCTCGAAAGACTCTGCTATCGTCACATTTACTTCTGGCACTCTTTGTTGTTGTTTTTTTTCCCCGAGCATCTTCCTTCCCACACTTTCTTCTGTTTCTGCATCATTGAATCAAACTGTTTTGCAGTCACTTTTTTTGTCTCTTGCTTTTAAGAATTGACTTGCATTTCTTTACGAGCATTACATTGTCAGTATTCAAAATGGGATAACACGTGGTTCTGTTATTATGGAACTAGAACGCTCACCTACATCATGTTAAACTGAGCATTGACATCAAAAGACATTTTTCACACCCTTGAGCAAACTATACGTGGAGCCGCTTGTAGGTCTACTCATAAATAGATCTGCTTTTGTGAGTTGTGTGGTGGTTTTTGCTGAAAATTGTGACGTGTGATAAGATTTAAATAGTTTTTAAAAAAAAAACGTTCTCAGTAATTGCAGTACATATTTACTGTGAATGCTTGCTTTATTCATAGCTACATCATTCTTAGGCTGAAGTCTAAAACGTGTTAAAATGCGAAGAGTCGTGCTTACTGTATATGGGACTTCGTGTGAATGTCAAAAGGTCATGTGGTTAAAGTATGTCAGATTAGTCACAATTGTACAGTGTTTTTCTCAAGATTTTGCTGTTTGTGGGTATATTTTTTTAGTCCAATAAAATATAATATTTTATCATGTGCCTGAATTTAAATATTTACTAAATTGTATAATTATACTTGTTAAAATATGGCATTTTGTATAATTGTAAATGCACTAAAATGCAGGCCTAGGACAACCTCTAAAATGGTTTAACACAATTCACTTCTGACAGAAGTGCGGCAGGTTGAGGGTCTGACGTCTCATTTTCTGAAGTGTGCTTCTGTCATGGTTGAGCGTGAAGAATAAATTGCTCCATGCTTCACCGGACTTGACTGCTTGCTTCTTTTCTTTCATTCATCATTCATTTTTCCCACGACCCTGTACACAAGATAAGCGGTTGACAATGGAAGGACCATTCATTTTTAGCGCACATTTAGATTTGTTCTGTTCTTCGGCATCCTCTCGCAATAACTGCTCTTTTCCAACACCCCCCGCTCTGCTGCTGTTCTGTTTACGTCAAATACATGTCACAACAGACCGGCACCTGCATGATCTGCACACACTTCACTTGTTTATTTCAGGAAGGATCAAAAAGATGTCTTCATCCATGAGCAGGTCCTCCTCCGGTTTTGAGTCAAGCCACCTTTCATCCCCAGAGTACCCTGCCCTCCCCCAGACCCTGACCTCCACCAGCTCTAGTAAGACTTCACTCCAAAGTAAACAAGCTTGCCTGCCCTGTATCTTACCATCACTAAGACACCCTAAGAACAGCTCACATCTCCTAAGCCCAGCTAAAGGTCATCATCTCAGCAGTCCTAGAAATGGCTACATTTCTAGGAGCCAGAGCTGCATGGAGCTAAGAAGAAACCCAGCACCAGGGCTGCTGACGCGGAGCTTCTCCCTGACTGTCCTCCACAAAGGGCGGAAGAGAAAACTCTTCAACCCTAAAAACTGGAATCTGACCCCCAGCGTCAAGACAGAGGAGAGCACACAGCACTCAGTTAATCCTCAAAAACCTTTTGAGCTCATGTTTCCATCCTTGCAGTTTTCCACCACATCACATAAGTCTGTGTGCAGCACTTTCAACCTAGACACAACACATGTGTTTGCCCCTAAACCAGCAGAAAAAACACACAGTGCGCATCTCCAGTTGCCACCCACAGTCCCAGCAGAAAGGTCCAAAAGTCCTTTAACTATACCGTCCATACCAAACATACTCCCAGAGTCCTTATTAACAGAGACTGCCTGTGTGTACAACTATACAAACCGCTTCTCCTCAGAGGATAACAAGAGTCGTTCAGTTTCAGCCAGTTCTGAAGCGCGCAGGCTGAAAATGAAAAGAAATAAGAAGACCTCCTGAACTCTATATCTGGCTTCCCTGTCACAAGAAAGACTCTAGCAGCAGGGTGCTGATCTCAAAATAGAGCCACATTCTGACAAGGTATTGGCCTTAATAGCACAGTGAACTGTCACTTGACAGATGTTAATTGCTGATGTTGGATGATGACCATTTTAAAACCATATTTATTTCAGAATCTTTGAAATACTGTGTTAATATAAGTTATCTTTTTTCCCAAATAACCATTGATTTCTGATGTATCCATGGAGTGTACCATGAAACTGACCTGCCAGCCGATTACTATATCTGTGGTACATTTTCTCACAATAGCCAGAAAATATAAGGAAAGGTAAATTCGCAGCGTTGTCACTTTTTAGTAGGTTCACATGGATTACACCAAACACAAAGTTCCCTACAGTTTCCAAAAGTGTAGTAGAATTAATCCTCCCTCAGAAAACAAAAGTTTAGACCGTGTTAATAAGGTTACAAATAGATAAGTTAGTCATAAAAAAATACTGAGGTTGCAGTGTGGTCGATATGGAATACCCCAACTTTCTATTTCGGATGTTCAGCTGAATCAAGTCTATGGAGGAAACTGTGACTAAGTTCCAGCAGTTGCACAAGCAGCATCGCTTGGCAGCAAGTGGCCATTTATCCTACATCAAACAAAGCCATTGTTAATAAATTGAACAGTTTTAAGTATGAACTTTTCATTACTGCCTTTTTGACACCAGGCCTTTTTCACAGAGGACATTTTGACATGTCACAAAAGGAAAAGCAGAAGTGTAAATAAAAAGAATTGTGGTTAAATTCCATGTAGTTCCTTCAGAGTCTGGTATTATTAATGCTAACTCACGGTCTCACAGCCATGACTTACTGGGACAAGTGAATAGTACAGAGCCACACTTAATGTTATTAGTAACACCTGTGCTTTTGTGTTTATATCCATATCTAACTGCAGGTAGTGATGGCAATTACTGTATCATTATCATAGTGCTTCATTAAACAATCAGCAGTTCTAATGCACATATAATTTGCACATTACAGGAAGTTTAGCAATTTAGCGTTTAAACAACCCAGCAAGTATCTTACATGTACACATGAATTGTTTATTTCTCATCAGTTTCATATCAGGAAATTCTGTCTTTTTCAGTTACTGAAGAAATGTTTTTTATAGATAGATTGTAAAAATGCTAAGAAGGCTGTTAATCACTGTTAGCTACTTTTTTACCCACCTATCAATAAATGTTGTTTTATTTGAATTAAGTTCATGTCTCTGACAGTAGATCTCTGCACTTAAGGGCAACTGTTATTGGCAGCAACTGTTATTGGCAGCAAATGGAAATGAATAAAGGCAGTAGTTACTATTATATTCTCACATACCCGTTTTTATGTTTTACATAACTAATTTCCTTAGATAGACATCTGATGTATACTCACTAGTTTTGATTTTTCTATCTGTGATTTACATCTCTCTGGCAGTGTGTTCTACTATTTAAAGTGTTATCGACAGAGTGAAAGCAGGATTTAGTGGCATACTTGGTTCACAGTTTAGCCTGTAGCAGCATTTCATGAAGGCACTGCCTGACCAGCCCCAGTGCATCCAGGGCAGTACCCCAGGCGAGGGTGACTCCCCACCCTCCGTGGCCATAGTTGTGGACCACATGCAACCTCCGACCCTGCAGGTGCACCTCCTCCCTCTCCACCCTCGGGTTCTTCCTGCTGGGCCTCAGGCCGACCCACTCGCCAAGAACATTGGCTTTGCTGAGCGACGGCTCCAGCCTGCTGCAGCGCACCAGGATGCTCTTTGTGTCTCCTTCGTCCACTTGAAGTCGCCAGTCCCCCTCCTGCCTCGTGCCGCCTATAGTGACACTGTGTATGCCGGGGTAGATGTAGGTCTTTCCGTCTCCATCTCTGATGAAGTGCTGCAGCCAGGGGGCCTTCACCTTGAGGACCTGGCCTCTGACCGGATATACCTTGTTGTCACCCACCAGCGTTTTGGAGCCCAGACCGGAGCAGTTGACAATGATATCAAAGCTGTTGCTCAGTTCATGAAGACTTTTTACCATCCTCTGTTCCACCTGGCCTCCAGCTTTTCTGAACCTTTTGCAAAACAAGAGTTTGTGTCATTCTAAAGAGTACATTCAACTTTTCACCTCTTCCTCAGTGGAACCAAATCCTAATTTGAAGGAATTACCTGTAAATGTTTTGAATTTGTTGCAATTTAAAACTTTGAAGAAAAATAATAATGACTGAACACTTTTAACATGACAGTGAGAGTTTAACGTAGAAGACAGACCTCTTCTCGAGCCACGGCAGGTAGCTGGAACATTCACATTTTATGGTGGTGAACGCCTGGCCAAACTTATGATCCGGAAACCTTTTCAATTCACCTTCAGTCATGAATCTAAAGCCGATCACAGACTCTGACCAGAAGGGCTTCTTATCAGCTGGAACCTCTTTGAAAATGTGCCAGCTGGAAAAGAATCAGAGCAAAAATCTCAGGATGCAAGAAGCTCTTTTTAAATAGTGACCTGGCTGAGTATTTGTCCCTTTTATAGCCCAGTAGAACAATTTCTACCCAGAACTCAGCATTACTCCAGCCTCTGCTGAGTGCTGGGATTGAGCGATGGCCAACAGGTGATTGAAGCTGTCCTTGAACCAGCGTTTTTGTCTTTCCAAGGGAATATCTGATGGATGAATAAATACAGCAAAATCAGTCATTTTTAACATGCAAAATGCATGTTCTGCATGTGTACGTATATATAAGGTGGGGATTGTTGATGAATTTATATGCATTACAAATTATTTTCATCCTCCAAATTGTACTGACCGCATAACATTTAATATACAACAATATATATTACAAAGTTAGTGTAAGGGCTTTTCAGAGAGAGAGAGAGATTGTTGCACACCTGGAAACCTTTCAGCAAACAGGATCCCAGCAGCTCCATCACTGGTGGTGTCTGGACTGAACTTCTCAGCCAGCAGAGTAACTGAGCAGAAAGGAAGCGCCTCAGCCACGCAGACAGCAGTGGAGAAGCCGATCACACCTGCGCCCACCACTGCAACCCTGACACTTTTCATCCTGGACAGGCTCAAACTGGAGGTGAACTGGAAAAAGTGAATCCACAAATACTAGCCTTAACGTCCACCTTAAATGACTGCACACTAATGATAAATGACACAAAGCTTTAATTCATCGTAATAACGCATTACATAATAGAAGTGGTTCCCATAGACTTTGATCAGGCGGGCCGATAGTGTTATCTGGTATGAAGTTACAAGACGCGGACCAGGTACGGCAACAGTGAACAGGGAACCCACCAGTGCAGATTATTCCGTAAAGTCTTAAACTGTGGGACTCCCATAGAAATCTGCAGTGTGTAGTTGGTCTGACGTTACATGAACAAAAAATGACCCGTTTGCAGCGATAACGTCTACTAATTGGCTATTTAACGAATATATCAACAAAAACAGATCGTTAAATGCCCGTTTCATGCAGTAAACAGTAACACTTGATCTATAAAAAGAGGGTATGCGTGCATCAGCTATACATAACGGTCATTGGAGACACTACGGCGTCAGGTGCATTCAGATGCACCTCGTAGTAACCGCGGTGAAGTTAGTTTTAAGTTGGATATTCGACAGACATTCACCCAGAATCCAGTGACGGCTTTTTAGTCAGTTCACCCAGTGACGGTTGTATAAGTGCGGTTAGCTCACCTCTGATGGCTCGCTTTTAACCAACGGGGGTTAGCTTAGGGACCATCAATAAATTACAATTGTGAGAACAGTGTTATGGGAAAATCATTATTTATTTCAATAGCTTCCAAGTCATGTGACACAGGGACTTCAAACCAATGCCGAATTGTAGTACTATACTAGGCAAATGAGACACACCCCTTCATATTTGATTTGAGTGCATTTTTTATTTTATATGAATATATTTTATTTTTTTCTTCAATAGATTCCATTTCAAATGATTCAGGGACTCAAAACCAATGCCGAATAGTACTACTACCTGTTACACATATTACACACCTCTTGTACAACTGCAGTTGTACCACACAGAGTCAGTCATTTTCTTCCACAGCATTGAGCAGATTTCAAAGAAACACTTTATTTACACAACGGACATTCCCAGTTTCCTTTCTTTGCCTCTTCATATTGTGTGCTGTCCATTTCCACACACTGAGCATGGAACCACCGTTCACAGCCATCACACTGGACCTGTGGAATTAAAATAAATCTTTCGTAACATATATATATATATTGTGAGTGTGTGTGAACGAGTATTAGTTTCTTTCTCATCAGCAGTTGGCACCTTGCATTTATTTCTCTGCCATCGTTGTATGAATGTGTGTGTGAATGGGTGACTTATTTTTTTTATTTAGTGTAAAGTGCTTTGAGTGGTTTATTACAAACCAAGGTGTGTATACAAATCGGTTTGACCTTTGTGTTAGTTGACTTTTCCTCAGCCATACTCAAGTAGGTCTACAACACAATTAAACATGATATCACTGCTTCACAACTCACCCAGTCTGTAATGGGGGGTCCAGATCCCGGAGGCCTTAAGGCTGCACACATAGCACAACACGAGTGCTCATCAAAGACTTACAATATATTATTTATTTAATTAAAGTATATTGTAGGTATACTGTATGCATGATTTACTGCATGTACCTGATGCTTCTAGGAGTTGGAGATCTAGATCTCTCCTCTTTATGGTTCACATAAAATTGTTTTTAACATAAAAATCAAATGGTCCAAACAAAATCTCCTTAAAATTCTCCTTTAACAACAAGCACACCACAGCTGCGTCCGTCTTTTGAACTTTACATCCACCCAGTCTGTTTTGCTGTGGCATGTCCTTCTCATCCTGAAGTATTCCCTGAATAAGTAAACGTTAATACACTTTAAACAGATACAGTGTGTAGGTCAAAAGATAATATCCGATCACAGACATTTGGTACCACTAGTGAATAACCAATGTTTGAATTCATCTCATCATTGCAAATGCTTGAGGGACGGGGAGAGGGCAGTCATAAATATTAGGCTACTTTATATAAGTAATAAATTAATTTCTAAAGGAAGCTTAAGAACTCTACATTCCCATGCCAAATTCTTGTCAACCTTAATAGAGAAGTAACAGAAAGCATCCTGACTGGAAACTTCACCACCTGGCATGGGATGTGCACGGCCCAGGACAGGAGGGCTCCGCAGTGGGTGATTATAACCGCTAAGAAGATTATTGGTACCCATTCACACACACATTCATACAATACATTCAAATATGTAGGCCTAGTGTAGTACTACAATTCGGCATTGGTTTGAAGTCCCTGTGTCACATGACTTGGACGCTATTGAAAAAAAAAAGGCATTATTTTACATAAATTATGAATAAATATTCATATAAAATTAAAAAATGCACTCAAATCAAATATGAAGGGGTGTGTCTCATTTGCCTAGTATAGTACTACAATTCGGCATTGGTTTGAAGTCCCTGTGTCACATGACTTGGAAGCTATTGAAAAAAAACAGCACTTTTTTCAATAAATTATGAATAAATATTCATATAAATTCGAATATGTACTCAAATCAAATATGAAGGAGTGTGTCTCATTTGCCTAGTGCAGTACTACAATTCGGCATTGGTTTGAAGTCCCTGTGTCACATGACTTGGAAGCTATTGAAATAAATAATGATTTTCCCATAACACTGTTCTCACAATTGTAATTTACTGATTGTCCCTAAGCTAACCCCCGTTGGTTAAAAGCGAGCCAGAGGTGAGCTAACCGCACTTATATAACCGTCACTGGATCCTGGGTGAATGTCTGTCGAATATCCAACTTAAAACTAACTTCACCGCGGTCTCGTACCGGTAGTAGTTATCAGGAAACACCAACATAGGTCCCCTAGAACCTCTGCGATGCTTTTCAATTGATTTTACTGCAGCATTTAATAATAATTTGATGCTAAATAAATAATCATAATATCCCAATCAGTTGTAGTTCATACTTTCTTTAAATTAAATTAAAAATGTAATCTAATTGTTAACCGCAACCTCTTGTTCTTTTTCTTTTTTGGCCTACGACGTCTCCCTAACTATCTCTGTGATCGTTTAAGTGTTTTTACTGACACATTTTTTAATAATTAAATACTAAAGTCATACCCTTTATGCATACATTGTTAAATGGGCATATTTTTACGATTCCATAAACCAATCTGTTGGGAACTGAAGCCGTGGTTGAGATGTAGTCTTTCAATCACTTTAATCAATTTATTAAATGAATAAATTTTTCACTTAGTTGCTTTAAGTTACTTTAGAACAACGTTAGGAACATTTCTTAAAGAAGTGGTATTATGCTCATTTTCAGGTTCAAAATCTAAATTAGGGGTTGTACCCGAACAGGTTTACATGCTTTAATTTTCAAAAAAACACCATCTTTTTCTCATACTGCACATTGCTGCAGCTGCTCTTTTCACCCCTTGTGTTGTTTCAACATGTAAAGACAGATAAGCGGTATGAAAAACTTCGAGCTGTGTTTTCCTCTGCGGTCTGTATGACAGCGGGAGCAGAGGGCTCTGTGAGTCTTCTCCTAAAACTGTCAATATTCGAAATCTACTCACCTCAAAACTTCTCAGAAGTGGATTTAGTGATGAAATTACATACGAAAACTGTAAAATATAAAACTTTCTGTTGCTGGCCTCTGTCTGGCGCACAGCAATGATGATGCAGTGAATAGTGAATATTCTCTCTGACCAGTCAGCAGTCTGTCATGTTTTCACATTACAGTTTAGTTTCCCTCAGCTCGCTTGGAACCTCGAGGGAGGTGAGGTGATAAGAAAAAAAAGTATCTGGAAGCAGGTACAGGTACAACATTTCTACAATGGAAAACCAAACAAAGGTGAGTCGAGCCAAAGCGCGCTCAGACTAGCTTGGTTTGAGGGTGTGCCTGACCCCGCTAACTGCTTGGCAAGCTTTATGAAGCATTTCATTGTGACGTTACAAGTAAAGGAAGTGAAGCGCTGGACTACAAAGGAGCTGTTTTCAAGCGCTTCAGAGCAGAGTTTTCTGTGGGAGATGGGAACTCCCCTTGGGCTGGACTTTGGGCTTTTTCACTTTGCAAACCTGTTACATGCACAAAAAAGACATGTAACTCAATAAAGGAGAGGGGGGGAAAAGCATACTACCACCTCTTTAATGGGTTGTATAAATCAGTCTGATTTATGAAAACAACTGTTTATGAATATAACATTGAGATGGAAAATTCTAAACAAATGCCCACTTTGCTACAAACAGTCTGTGTTTCATCATTGTCTGACAGTTTCAGCTCAAATTTTTATTAGTAGGCTAATATATTTATCAATTGTGTTGTATAAAAAGGTTCCCAGATACTTCTGACATGTGTTTAATGTCAATTTTCTATAATGAGATGTCTGAATCGATAAATAAATTAAAGACAATTCTCGTTTATTCTCGAGTTTTCCAGGTGTGTTATACAATATATTCTATTAAAGATGTGGGTTTATTGAGTAAACAGACCATTATTTACCTGTGATTATTTAACGTACACCATGCCTTCCCTTGATTTTCCGTTCCCATGACAAATTAATGCTATTTTGTAATGGAAAAATTTAAATATGCCTATGAAGCAATATATGCATATTGAGTGTGAGTTTAGTATTTACTTATTAAAAACGTTGTTTTAAACAAACTTAGCGGCCACTCAAGTATGGATTTCTGAGTTTACGTAGTACACCTGAATGCACCAGTCCTGTCGGCGTCCACACGCTTTACCCTAAAATCCAATGTAGACGTGCAAGTGATTTTTAAACGTAGACCCGTGTGTTGTAGCCGGTTGTAGCCAGACTGCATGATTGTAGCTCAGCTCAGAGCCGTGAAAGGCTCTGGCTCAGCTGAGCGTGAGTCTCGTCGGAAATAGAACCACACCTCTCGCGAGACACCATTTCATGTTCACGCTCTCCGTCCAACGTTAGTAGAAGGTAAGGTCCTAAAAGCTCACTATTTTGAATTACACCGCTGTTTGTGCGCTTAAACAGTTTGGGTCCTGTCCCAAACAGAAATAGAACTAAAATGTAGTCACATTACAGTAGTTGCACACTTTTCTGTTTTTGCTATTTGAGGCCTGTTTCCGGCTAGCAGCGGATGCCTTGTTTGAGACGCTGTAAGTTAGCTTGCTTGCTAACATTCAGGTTGTTCACATCACCGCACAAGGTTTATCTGTATAGTCCTGAGAACACACATTAGTTGGTAAACTTTGTATAATAGTGAATGACAGTACAAAATACTTGCACTTCACTGATAAAGTTATAAAGACAATATTTCTACAAATGCAAGCACTGGTGATAATGAAATGGTTAATAATAGATCAAGCCGTTGACGATTTTGATAATCAATTCATTTTTATGTAATTTATTAGGTTTTCAAAACGTGAAGATTTATTTTCCCTCTTCTACCTTACATTGTTAATTTGGCTTTTGGACTGTTCACATAAGCACTTTAAAGACATCACCTTGGACTCATAAAGGGCATTTCAAACTGACATTCATAGACTAGAAACATAGATACCATGAGCCAGTAATTTTGTTGTTAAGTTTTTGTGATTAATCAAGAAATTTTTAATCCATAAATTGTCAGAAAATAGTGGAAAATGTCCAAGAGATTCACTGTACTAAACACAGAAAAACACATATTTAAAAAAAAAAAAAAATCAGGATTGTTGATAAATTTTCTGTTAATTGACAAAGGGTTAATGGGTTAATCATTGCAACACAAAATAATTAGTTCCAGCCATTTACCAGGATTATTTGCTTTTTGTTTACACAGCTTTCTTTTAAATAACAATGTATTGATTAGCTAGTCAAAAAATATAAATGCAAAAAAGTACTGTACCTCTTTTTCTCAGTCTTATGATATATAACCCTGTTTTGATAGAGTGTTTCTTTTCATTTCCCACAGGAACACAGGTGATTGTTTCGAGCGGAAGATGTCTCAGAAAGCAGCACCCAAGACTTCTTCACTCATGGCCCTTCATTCGGATTCACATAAGCAGAGCATCCTGAGCAAATTTGACAAGCTCAGGAAAAGGGACCTACTGTGTGACATCACTCTTGTTGTGGAAGACGTGCACTTCAAGGCGCACAAAGCCCTGCTGGCAGCAAGCAGCGAGTACTTCTCCCTCATGTTCACGGCAGAAGATCAGATGGGTCAGTCTACGTACCGGCTGGATGGTATGGCAGCTAAGATGTTTGCAGCAGTGCTGGAGTTCATCTACAGCGCCCAGGTGTCTGTGGAGGAGAGCGCCACAGAGCAGCTTCTGGCCACAGCTCGTCTTATTGAGGTCAAAGACCTTGTCCAAGTGCTCACTGAACTCGCACGCTCTGCTGCAGCGGTTAGGGGTGAGGAGGTAAAGGCAGACATAGAGGAGGTGCCAGATGTGTTGAAACGCAAAAGAGGACGGCCAAAGAAAAACGTGGATGTGACTGTAACAGAGGTGGAGGGGGGAAGCGCACCATGCGAGAGCTCGGAGGAGGAGCCGACTGGAGACGTGGACTGTGATAACGATGAAGTAATTGAGTC